TTTGTTCTTTATAGTTTAACACATGGTTAGAATTTCATTAATCATTATATTCTAACGTAGTATATGATTTTGTTTTGTTACCTGTTTTATTTTATTGATTTAAAATATTATTTTAATCATTATCTTTATTGATTCGTAGTAAATGATATAATTTAAAATTTTGGATCGTTGTAATCAACAGATGGAAAGAATACATGTGTGTGTGTGTGTGTGTGTGTGTGGGGGGGGGGGGGGGTATGTATAAAATAGTGTGTCTCTTTTTTAATCTTATTTCATCTGATAAAATAGTTTGAAATATAGAATAACATGTTGTTTCCAATATCCCAAGTAATCGAGCACATCCTTCTAGGAAGCCCAGTCAACAATTGCTTTTGGTTAACGGAATAACACACAGAGCTGTATTTTATCGATATCTTTGGAAAGAAGGGATCCCGGAGACCGCCCTACGTCACGATTAATGAATTATGCATATTCTATTTATAGGCTATTTATAAACGATTCTGAAAATACTAATGCTAAAAATAGAATATTCTCAACATGTAAAACTGACTAAGAAAACGATGCAAAATCATAAACTTTCATGTAACACTCAGGTGAATTTGCTTTATTTATTTTTTTATCACATGAAAAATAGGAAAATGTACCGCATTACAGTAGCAGATATCATTGTGCCCTCTTTAAGCAAATACAGATTCCTTTTTAAAATACATGATATTTCATATATATATATGACAAACAGTAGTGGTGCCTTAATTATGTTGTAAAGACCTGCAAATGTCCCATGCACGTGGTCCCATGGCTTTGAATATACTATGGAGTTAATAATATTTTTATTATCCGCTTAAAAGAGTACTTTGATGTAGGCAAATTGAAAAAAATGTAGCTTACACGTACTTAGGCACGAGACATTTTCTTTACGGGAGTGTGAGGGGGTGGTGGGGGGCTGGTCTGCGTTTAAAGAAACGAATTAATCTCAGACTGGCCTTCATTTTGATAATTAAAAAAATCGGGCCTAGTAAACAGCTGCTCAAAGACAATTCTGAATTCATCTTCAATCAGCATGTATGATGTTGAATAATAAATTCTGGCTTTGGATTGATTGAAAAAAAATTGCTAGGTTTGCATTTGAATAAAAAATAAATCTGTCTCGATATAAAACATCTACTAAAGGACGTTCAAAGGATCCCCTGGGCCGTCTACAGGACCCCCTGTTGTCTGAACATTCTACTATAGGGCGTTCTATAGGAACCCTTGTTAATTGTTTATAATGAAGCTACTATTATGGCGTTCTACAGGATCCCCTGGGCAGTCTACATGATCCCCTGTTGTCTGAACATTATATATCTACTATAGAACGTTCTATAGGATCCCTTGTTGTTTGTTTTTCATGTATATACTATAGGGCGTACTACAGGATCCCCTGGGCGGTCTACAGGATCCCCTGTTCACATTGTCTGAACATTATATATCTACTATAGGACGTTCTATAAGATCCTCTGTTGATTGTTTTTCATTTTTATACTATAGGGCGTTCTACAGGATCCCCTGTTGTTTGAAAATTATACATCTAAGATAGGACCTTTTATAGGTTCCCCTGTTGTTTGTTTATCATGTATATAAGGCGTTCTATAGGATCCCTTGGGCGTTCTGCAGGATCCCCTGTTTTTTCAACATTATATATCTATTATAGGAGGTTCTATAGGATCCCCTGTTGTTTGTTTATCATATATATACTATAGGGCTTTTTATAGGATCCCCTGGACGGTCTACAGGATCCCCTGTTGTTTGAAAATTATGCATCTAAGAAAGGACCTTCTATAGGTTCCCCTGTTGTTTGTTTATCATGTATATACTATAAGGCTTTCTATAGGATCCCTTGGTCGGTCTGCAGGATCCCCTGTTGTCTGAACATTATATATCTACTAAAGGACGTTTTATAGGATCCCCTGTTGTTTGTTTTTCATGTATATACTATAGGGCGTTCTACAGGATCCCGTGGGCGGTCTACAGGATCCCCTTTTGTTGAAAAATTATGCATCAGAGATAGGAAATTCTATAGGTTCCCCTGTTGTTTGTTTATCATGTATATACTATAGGGTTTTCTACAGGATCCCCTGAGCGGCCTACAGGATACCCTGTTGTCTGAACATTATATATCTACTATAGGACGTTCTTTAGGATCTTCTGTTGTTTGTTTTTCATGTATATACTACAGTGCGTTCTACAGGATCCCCTGGGCGGTCAACAGGATCCCCTGTTGTTGGAAAATTATGCATCTAAGATAGGACCTTCTATAGGATCCCCTGTTCTTTGTTTATGATGTATCTACTATTTAACGTTTTATAGGATGCCCTGTTGTTTGTTTTTGATGTATCTACTATAGAACGTTCTGTATGATCCCCTGTTGTGTGTTTATTATGTAAATACTATAGGGCTTTCTACGGGATCCCCTGGCCAGTCTACAGGACCCCATGTTTTCTGAACATTATTTATCTACTATGGAACATTGTATAGGACCCCCTAATGTTTGGTTTTCATGTACTAGTATACACTATAGGGCGTTCTACATGATCCCCTGGGCAGTCTACATGATCCCCTGTTGTCGGAACATTATATATCTACTATAGTCCGTTCTATAGGATCCCTGTTGTTTGTTTTTCATGTATATACTATAGGGCGTTCTACAGGATCCCCTGTTGTCTGAACATTATATATCTACTATAGGACGTTTTATAGGATCGACTGTTGTTTGTTTTTCATGTACATACTATATGGCCTATAGGATCCCTTTGGCGGTCGGCAGGATCCCCTGTTTTCTCAACATTATATATCTACTATAAAACCTTCTATGGGACCCCCTGTTGTTTGTTTTTCATGTATATACTATAGGGCGTTCTACAGGATCCCCTGTTGTCTGAACATTATATATCTACTATAGGACGTTTTATAGGATCGACTGTTGTTTGTTTTTCATGTACATACTATATGGCCTATAGGATCCCTTTGGCGGTCGGCAGGATCCCCTGTTTTCTCAACATTATATATCTTCTATTAGACGTTCTATAGAATCCCCTGTTGTTTGTTTTTCATGTATAAACTATAGGGCGTTCTACAGGATCCCTTGGGCGGTCTGCAGGATACCCTGTTTTCTCAACATTATATATCTACTATAAGACGTTCTATAGGATCCCCTGTTGTTTGTTTTTCATGTATATACTATAGGGCGTTTTACAGGATTCCTTGGGCGGTCTGCAGGATCCCCTGTTTTCTGAACATTATATATCTACTATAAGACGTTCTATAGGTTCCCCTATTGTTTGTTTTTCATGTATATACTATAGGGCGTTCTACAGGATCCCCTGGACGGTCTATAGGATCCCGTATTGTTTAATAATTGTGTATCTGCTATAGGACGTTCTATATTAAACTTACGTTGATGTTTACATTGTAGGTCATTTATCCACAATCTAGAGAGCTTCTGTATTTGAATCCTTTAGGCGAGCAAAAGACACATCAGGACCAATATTTACAGAACTGGTTGTATGTAGTGTAGATCATTTTGTGCATTTCGACGAAAAAAAAGAGGTTTTACAACCAGATATTTACTTTAAAGCAACGGATACAATTTATACGAAAAACGTCTGACAGTGGCAATGTTGTTTTTAAACCAAAACAATTATTTCTCCAAAGTTGTAATGTTGATGTTAAGTTTAGGGGTATTTATCAATTTTAAAACAATTTACAGTGAAATACGAGCGATGATAACATTTTCATTTTTCCAAATCTTAGGTTATTCATATCTGAAAGACACAACAGGGGAATCAGACGCAATCCATCTTTCAGTCTGAAATGGAGTATTGTTACCAGGAAACACAGAAAACAATTAGATTCCTCATCATGCGGAGTTTTTACGTTGAAGGTAATATACTACATCTATTTCAGTTTTAAAGTCAGGAATCAGACCTATGTTGGTTGGCGTCTGCTTGACTTGTAGTTCTGTGTTTCTGTTGCCCCGTTGTTTTCCTCTTGTAGTTTTTGTGTTTACTTTGGTTTAAGTTTATCGCCTGGACTAGTTTTTCTCTTAATCGAATTATGGATATAGAACAGTGGTATTCACTACTGTTGTCTACATTAAAGGGATATAGAAATATAGATGATTCCAACACTGCATCAAGTGTATTACGATATTTCTCTACTCGAAACAGTTAAATTTTCATATACGATATACAGTGGCAGAATCTGTTTCTCGAAGGATTTTTATAAGAAATTTAAACAAAGTTTGACCTTTCTTTATAAAGATCAGCAAAAAGAAATGTTCTTTATATGTGTCTGTTTTCATAACGTCATTCTGTGGATTCATTATTATTCGTTGGATACCAATTTTCGTGTATTTCGTGGGTACAGATGAACCACGAAATTAATTATTCAACGAATTACAAATTTCCTATAGACTTGTATACACATTATGGCTAAACCACGAAATTAAATATCCACGAACATGTAAGTTTTTCTTAATCCACGAAAATTGGTACCCACGAAAATAAATGAATCCACAGTAATAGAAAATTTGGAAGAAAGCAAGATTTTGATGCCATAGAAATTCGACCAATCATTTGCCGAGAACAAATTTCTCTCTGTAGAGACTAGAAATATTTTTCTCACACCGGTCGGAAAATGTAAAAATACAAAAATATCACGAATATTAGAAGAAGAAAAAACAATCCTTACATTCGTTTGAAAGTCAGACTCTGTTACTTTTATTCACGGTGTACTAAGACCAATTATTCCTATTTTGGTATCGACCAAATATTTAAACATTAATACATGTATTGCAATTTCTTCAGAAATTTATTTCAAAAAAATGTTTGGTTGATTTAACCCGTAAAATATGTACACCTTTATAAATCTCGTCTGAGGAACATGCTTTATAGCTCTGCTTACAAGTTTTGGTGTCAACATCATCCTCTTTGAATTAAATATTCTCGATTTATACATTTTCCAGTTTGCAGAACATGTTCTTACAGACAATGACTTTATGTTTGACTCTTCAAAAAGGGCTATAAGAGTATCAAGACACATCATTGGACAAGTTCTTGTTGATAACAGTGGTAAGTGTTGTATTTTCTCGACATAATTATATTAAAATGCATTATAAAGTCAGGAATGTGACAACTGCTTTCCATTCGTTTGATATGTTTCAACTTTTTGTTTTGCCATTTTATTACATTTTCATTTAGATTTTTTCCTTTAAGTTCAGTATGGTTATTTTACTTTATAAAACCCAATTAGAAAAAAGTTTCATTTTTAATTCATGATAAGAAAAAGACTTCCATACCATATGAAATAATTCATTTATATGTCATTAATTTCAAATGTTCGTCTACGGTCATGAATTATTGTATTCATATGTCCACAACTAATGTAAAAATATCGATATAGCAATTTAAAGTTAAAGTTGAACATCTAAGAGGTTCCTTTACTTGATGTTAATTATCATGAGATTTATTAAATTGTCGTAATAAATGAAACGTTCTTATTCTAGTTAAATGATTATCACAACAACAGCAACCCAAGGCTATGCCCCCAAGACCTTAACCCAGGAAACCGAAATTAAAGGTAAAAGGATTCATAATACAATAAAAATGTACAGATAAATGTAATGGTTATTGACTTTCAGTGGGATATTGCCTAATTAATGCTGATATTATTTATCATAGAGTATCTGAATTAAAAATTAAAAAAATCTACGCCATGTTTACAAGACTCATCAGAGACACTCAAATCAAAATAATTCTAAGTCCAAATAAAGTATAAATTTAAGTTGAATAACATTTACATTGAAGAACGATAGAAGGTGGTCTTGTGATAAAATAACATTGGTTATTTTGTGGAAATATCATGACAATTGACAATAAACAAGGTACACAAAATACAAATAAACATAAATGTACACATGGCAACAAACAGCATGAAATTCACTGGGGTTGATCCAGATTATTTACAGTAAATGCTTCTCAATTACACCTGTTATACTGTATTTCTGTGTCTTTGTACCTTTAAACCTTATGAATAGATTTTCAATTAGATTTTTCATGTATTCCTTACACATTTAAATTAAGGAAAAGGGCATTGAAACAGCTTCATCATCATGCACACAGGACATCCATTGGCTATTTATATCGGTGTCAGCAAAGGTGAGTTTATCTCATGATTATATATGTAACTGTATTCAGTTCTTCAGGGATACATTTTTTTATATGGTTTATGATAGTAATTGGAAACATATTTTATGTTTACCTATCAAACATTGCTTTTTAAGGATTCCCGTTATTTATTATTTAGACCATATCGAGTTTACCTTGTGGCTTTCAGAATCTTGACAGATTTTAATTTGGAAGACCTATATTTCTGTTTTATGCATATGTATATAATTTGTTTAAAATATAACTGATTTTATAAGCGGCTGTAATACAAGTTAGAGGTTAAGCTAGCTTTACAACCAGGTTTAACCCATCATTTTCTGCAATGGAATGCCTGTACTAAGTCAGGACTATGACAGTTGTTTCCATTCGTTTGATAAGTTTGAGCTTTTTGTTTTGCCATTTGAGTAAGGATTTTCCATTTTAAATTTTCCTTGGTGTTCGGTATATTTGTTATTTTACTTATTACAGACATGCTTACAGTGTCAAAGTCTGACAAGTGCCATGTGTGATGATTTTGATACAATGCCAATGACTATCACCAGAGGATTCTCATCTGCGAAAGGACAGAACTTAGCAACATTGGTAAGCCTTATGTTTTTGCTATACAATTTGTGCTACAAATGTGGCATACTTGGAGAGCAACATATATACCTAGGATACGATATATTTATGTCCTGTTAATTCATTATTTCCTTTAACTCATTTCATAATCATAATCTAATAGTTTACAAAATTAAGACAATTTTTCTTCATGGGTTTAAATGAAAATTTCACTATTAGTAGCTAAAGTGACATTAAAGAAACCAAATGATTCTAAATTCAGTAAGTTTAATTATGTTATCCCTTTCAAAGGGGGGGGGGGGGCATATTGTTATTGTTCGTTTCTTTTTTTTTTCATCATCTTCTTTTTCCCCATAACTTTATTGTCCCGGCAAGTTCTCGGAAAAGGATAGACACATTCATCTTTATGGAATTATGGCATAATGTAAACCACCATATAAAGTTGTGCTTTTTAATAAGGGGATGGTCCAAGATGGTCGCGATTACTATAAACTCTGGTCAACAGTATTTTTTATGTTTTTTGTATATAATTCTAGTATGCCTGAGCATAGAACCATGATATTCAATATACAAAGTAGGTGTCAACAATTTGTATGGTCCTCAGAACTACATAGCAGTAGGGAGTTGTGTTATTTTAGTATGGATTTTTTTTCCATATTGCTGACGTAAACCTAGCAATGGCAAGGTCGTCTGGCAACTTGACAACAGTATGACATCCGCCATTGCTCGCAATGGCAATTATAGTTGTTTTCGTATTCTTTTGGATTTGTACAGAAAAGAGAAAAGAAATTGACCCCGTCTTTTAATATCACATTCCGATATATTGATGATGTAATGTCTCTTAATGATAATAGATTCTGTGATCTATGGCAAGCCGTTATACTATTTATTCTAACTTCAAGATATCTCATATAATATAAAAGATATTTCATATGATATATTAGATATCTGTCTCATATAATATATGAGATATCTAATATAATATACAAGATATCTCATATAATATATAAAATATCTTATATAATCTAGTTTTTATAAGATATCTTATAAACTTAAAAAGATAGCCTATATACTTTATAAGATATCTTATTAATTTTATAAGATATATTATATAATTTAGAAGGTATCTTATAAACTTTAGAAGATATCTTATGAAGTATATAAATTATCTTATAATCTTTGGAAGATATCTTATAAAGTATATAAGATATATTATAGAGTTTATAAGATATCTTATAAAGAAAATTATAGTAGATATCTTATAAACTGAAGAAGATATCTTATAAAGTATATATAAGATATCTTATAAAGTATATATAAGATATCTTATAAAGTATATATAAGATATCTTATAAAGTATATATAAGATATTTGATAAAGTTTATAAGATATCTTATAAACAATTTTTAAATAAGATATATTATATACTTGATAAGATATCTTATATACTTGATAAGATATCTCAAACAGTTTATAAGATATCTCATATAGTTTATAAGATATCTCGTATAGTTTATAAGATATCTGATTTAAAACATATAAATAAGATATCTTATAAAAAAATATAGATAAGATATCTTATATAGTTTATAAGATATCTTATTAGAAAAATATATAAGATATCTTATAGATTATATGAGATATCTTATAAACTATATAAGATATCTCATAAACTATATGAGATATCTTATAAAGTTAATTAGAGATCTTGAAGTTAGAATAAACAGTAAAATGGCTTGCCATAGTGATCACTTACATTTAATATATAGTTAAATTATTGAAAATAAAGATACTTCCGACACAGATAAATCTGTTTCATATTTACACCTTTTTCTTGAAATGACTACTGATGATAGGTTAAATACCAAAAGTGTGTCGGAATTCATATTTGATATTCTTCCGCAGTCATAACAACCTTTCATTATTACCGGACTGAACAGGGTGTCGTATACAGTGCAGGGAATATTTACCCTCCCCGAGCACCTTATAACACTCCCGGTTTTAGTTGAGTTCGTGTTGGCTCCTATTTATTTATAGTTGTTGTGAATGTCTTTTGGTTTTATGAGTCTTTGTTAACTTCTTTGTTTTGATAGTTATATTCTTCCTTTAAGGGCATTAGTACTGGAAAAGATTGTCTGAGGTAGGGACATTGATAAGATTTTAAGATAATTGAGACATTGTTTGTGATTTTATAATGAAAGATCATTTGTTTTACTTATGTATTTTTTCTTATACAGTTTGATGTCCACGTCAAACACAAACTGAAAGAGGTCATAGAAGTGCTAGGTGAGCTTTTCATAATTTAAATTTTCAAACGTTTCACACTATTGAGTGCTTGCTTTGTTTAAAAAATGATGCGACATTATACCACTTTACACAATATTGGTAGATCATATATGAATGAAAAAAGGTTTAATAGCTTTTCAAATAAAAACTTTATATTATCGTTATGTATCATATACTTTTCAACCATAAATAGAATGAATAACAGCTAGCACAAATATCCAAAGAAATGCCGTACTTCGACCTATACTTGTTAACTTTAAATACATTGTGACTTGGATGGAGCGTTGTCTCATTGGCACTCATAGTGTCATGATGATACAAATTGTCATAATCATTAAAATCATGCACGGTCCTTTCCAAATCAAAAAGATCTCTAGAATTTTTAAGATATGTAAACCAAAGTTAGTTATAACTTGAATCATGTTTTTCAAACACATAACACAGATACAAAATTAGTTTTGCAAATACCAACATGACCAATTAACAGTGATCATAAATAATAAACATATAATTATTAATTATCTAAAATAATAAACATTTAATTATTAATTATCTAATTATAAAAAAAAAAATCATTTAAACATTTTTTTTATGATAATAGAAATATTTTGATAAATACATCTTAAAAGCATCTAACAATGTAACCTATATTTGCAAAAATAGGGCGCGATTGTGTGGATTGCAAATGTGTAGCGTTCGAACGTGTTATGAGTGTGAATGGACCCGATACTTTGAATTTCTATGTCGATACAAATGTACAGATATTATACCACCATAATATAAGGCTTTATTGGGAGAATTAAAAAAAGGGTTGAAAATGCAGAATTATGTAAAGTTCCTATAGGTATAGGAAGATGTGTTCATTTTGTTATAATTTTTATTTCTAAGACTTGTTTTGTTTTCTTTTATTTACACTGAGTACACACATTGTAATCATATAAAATAATGATTCCAGCTAAAAAGCACCCATTGTTTTGCAAGTTGTCCTAACCTTATAACAATCCAAACATTGAGGTGTGCAATTCCCCAGGAACTTTCTGTAGTTCCTACGGTTCAATCTGAACACCCTTAAGTCTTTTTGTTGTGACCTTTACATTTTTTTGAAAGGGAAATATTAATGCACCATTTTCAATGCTAATACACAATTCTATCTAGTAAAAAATCGTTTAACAAATTGAAGAGTATTTAATTAATACAGCACAAATACATTATACTACTTTATTATTTAAATTTTTATTTATGAAGTAACAAGTTTTGAGTTTTACACTGCTTCACCAAAAATATATGGACTTAAACAGTATTTGACTAAAAAGGCTTATAACATTTGTTAGGGTAGGCATCACAATATTGAGAAGGTAGCGAAGGCAGGAATCAGAACTATATCTTTTGTCGGTATATATATTATAGTATTATAACCAAATACACCAGTGGCAAACCTGCTTATTGTGATACTTAATGAAGTTAAAATTGTCCTGAAAAATTTCGAGGAGTTGGGTGTTGATGTTGGATTTTTTTGTCCTTTGTACTGTACGATTTTTTTTGTGATTTCTTTTACCTGTTCAAGAATACGAATATTATTACGCAAATTCTGGTTCTAAAATACAATTTCAAATATTTAAAAGAAAAATCACAACATTTTTTACGGTTGTGAAAATATTAAAGTTTCAAATATTTATATTCATGCAACACATATTAGTTACATTTACCACAATCAATTTTCTTTTTCATTGTAAGTTAAAATACATTAGCTTTGATATACTGTCCCTCAAACTATTTGATAAATTGCCGAATTTAAGTTTATTCCATTTCAATTTCAAAGACTTTTTTGTAAAGGATAGGTAAGCCTCTTAGAATACTTATCATTCTATGCTACATATGTAAGTAACATATTTGATATATAGTTTCACTTACGTTTACATGCAGTTTATTCACATAAGAATGTTATTAAAAATTTTCCTTTTCATGTTTTAACATGTCATCTCATTGATGTAAACAATCGCCATATTGCTTTGTGACGTATTGGAATTATTAAAAAATAAAATCTTCTATTCAATTCTTAGAATAAATATACTGAAAAATACTTAATATGGATTGCCTATCTAGTCTACACAATAAAAAAATTGAGATTTTTAAAAGTCCACTTTATCTACGTTTGTACCACCGTACAGCCAATGTGCCTATTG